GCTTGAGACAGAAATTGGACAGAATCTATCAAAATTAAAGATTATGTCCCTGTGTATACCTGCATACAACTTGAATCTTTTACAGTGAGAATATCTTTACATATCACTTGTGAAATGTCTTTTCAATCCATAAAACAGAACCTAAGAGTGATACAAGAAAACCTACAGAGAATGCAAAATGGAAGGAAACCTACAATGTCTGTATTTGTGGCACACATACTGCTGTGGAGTTTTAGGAAAGGGACAACAGCAGCATTGGCTGGAGTCATGGTTTCCCGTCCACATCAGTACAGCTGCTTGGTCTCCATATTCTCCAGCACCCACTGTTAACATTCTGTTTTATTGCAGCTGTCCGTGAACATGTTTGTCCCCTCATCCCTGCTCCTCTAGAAGTGTGGTGGCCAAAGCCTCAGTCTGTACATTGTCTCTGTACTCTTTGTGCTGCTACTGTTGCCTAGACTGTTAAGTAATTAATGATGAAAAGAAATATTTTATCAGTGGACATGTGTTCCCATAACAGCAGTCATCCTTGGGGAGTTGTACATCTTCTTAAAAAAAAACTTAAAAGTGAATCTAATCAGCCACTCTAATTGGTGTTTAAGCAGGCATTGGTGATGGCAACTGTTCCCATTACCAAAGTTCAGGTTTTGAAAAATGCATGGAGCAGGGTTTGGCCCAGAGGTCATCTTCATAGCTCCCCACTTCCTTTCTTAGGCAGTTGTTTCCCCCATGTGTTATCATGAACATCCAACAAGTACTCCCCAGTGGTAAACCTCCAGTGAAACTCAGAGATTTTACCTTAGGGTGAGACTGCATCACTGGAGGGGAACACTGTAGTTCACATGAGCATGGGTGTCTCTCATCATTGTAAACTCTAGCCTGGAAAGGGATTTTTGGTCTCACGGCTGACAACCCTCATTGTGGAGACAGGAACCTAAAGCCCAGGAAGGAGAGGAGTGGCTTAAGGAGTCACAGTGAGTGGGGAAGCCGAGACACAAACTGCTCCTGATTCAGGGTCCAGGGCTCTCTTCTCAGCATGTGCCTGCCTGCCTCACATGCCATTCCTGTGCTCTCCTGAGATTTCCTGTAGGAGTTTTTTTGTCATACCTTATCAAGTTTACTCTTAAAAATGTAATGTTTGGGAGAAAATGTTCATATTGGGGACTGAGGTCAAACAGTCACACCTCACAAACCCCGTGGCAGGGCATTCTACCACCATTTGCACTTCTTGTAGGCAAGGTGATGATAAACTGCCTAATTGAGCAACAGATCATTGGTCAACTTAGCTGTGGTGGCTTGGTGCCTCATTCAGCTCAGACTGCTATACAGAGCAGCTTATAAATATATTTCATAGTTCTAGAGAATGAAAGTTCAATGTCAGGGTGCCAGCATGGCCAGGTACCAGTGAGGGCCCTCTTCTGGGCTGCAGCCTGCTGAGCTTTCACTGTGTCCTCACAAGGTAGAAAGCGGGCAAGGCAGCTCTCTGGGGTCTGCTTTATAAGGGCACCAGTCTCATTCATGAGGACCCCATCCTCATGACATAACTAACCCAAAGCCTCTGCTCCTGACACCATCACATTGGGGGTTAGGATTTCAACATATGAATGCTGAAGGACAAAACATTCAGTCCCTAACACTTAGTAATGGTCAACTTGTCTACCCTCAACCACAATTTCCAGAATTCCCTTTCTTGTATGTTTCCAATTAGGTGGGCCCCAAGGGAGATTCTTATATTTGGAGAGCAAATGTGATACAGCAGCCTTTTTATTTTTTATTTTTTATTTTTTTGAGATGGAGTTTCACCTTTATTGCCCAGGCTAGAGTGCAGTGGTGCGATCTTGCCCTACAGCAACCTCCTCCTCCAGGGTTCAAGCGATTCTCCTGCCTCAGCCTCCTGAGTAGCTGGGATTACGGGTATGCGCCACCACACCTGGCTAATTTTGTATTTTTAGTGGAGACAGGGTTTCTCCATGTTGGTCAAGCTAGTCTCGAACTCTCAACCTCAGATGATCTGCTGCCTTGGCTTCCCAAAGTGCCGGGATTACAGGCGTGAGCCACTGCGCCCAGCTGAGACAGCAGCCATTTTTATAACTCAGCGTTGTCACTGTGTCCAGCAGAAGCTGGACTTCACATCCCCTCACGTCCTCCTTCAGCTTTTCTAACTCCTGGCCCTCACCACGTGTGTATTTTTTCTGTGATGAAGGTCCTCTCTTCTGCAAGACATCCACACCTGCAGTGCCAGAGGCACAAAAACCACGTGGTTTTCAGTCCTCACAGTCTTCAGTCCATGCCTGTGGCTCCAGCTAGTTATTCTCCACTTTATGCTTATCCTCCTCTGGCTTCTGCCTGCCCTGTAGACTTCTAGCTCCAGCATCAGGACAAAGATAACAGCCTTATAAAGACTTTAACCAGCTCCTACAATTACATGATAATAAATTCCTGTAATAAATATACACACACACACACACATATATATGTGTGTGTATATATATACATATATATATACACACACACAATTTCCTAGTTATGTTTCTGTGACTGAACCCTGACTGATACACCCCCAGAAGCTACTGTCTTATTCATCATGACTTTATTAAGCGTTTGGTGGGTAGTGTTTCTGGTGGAATGGTAGACCATGGGACCTCCAGAGTTCTACCCTAAGGATCTAAAGTAAATTAAATACCCCACCCCTCTTTAGTGATGAAGCATCCCTCAGTATCCAACAACAACAACAAAAACCATAGCACTTGGGAGAGAAAGCTGCCCAGTCCAGTAGACAAAAGAACAATGGAAGAACGAGGGCAGGGGGAACAAAGTGGTGAAAACGAGTTCTCAACAGATGCCAGGACAGGCAGTGGACGATGGATTCCATGTGGAGAACAGAAGCTAGAACTCCTTTGGAATTATGGGAGCAAGAGTCCTGTGGTGTCGCTGTGCCTCATGAAAGACATGGTGCTTTTGCTGTACATGACGACACGGTGCTTTTGCTGCACATGACGACACGGTGCTTTTGCTGTACATGATGCTCACGTGTGCACACACACACACACACACCTCACCCCCCTGCCGCCCTACCCCACAAGAGTTTGGAAATCCCCATGTTCCTGGCTGCCCTAGGTGCCAGTGATTCAAAGTATTACCCAGAATGTAAAAAGTTATTAAAGATATGTCAGGGAATGTTGATTTATCACCTAGACAACCTGCAAGTGACTTTCAGGCTCTCAGTATTCACGGTAGAGTTTCTAAGGTTCCAGATGCTTAGAAATCTGTTAGAAGCCAAATACAAGGAGGGATTGGAGGAAGCCATCTGAAAGGCTGTCCTTGTGATCTCTTTTGAACTTTACTTTGGAATAAGCCCTCAAATCTTGGAATGCTAAGAAAACACAACTCATCAGGAAAGAATGAGAACAGCCTTCCAGAAGATACCTCTGTGTTGTCATGATACTGATAGTCAAGAGTTGGCTAGAAAGTGATCATCTAAAAAGTGAGAGAAACACCTTAGACCCACTGGTTGGTTTTGCCTTTAGACTTTTCTCTTTGCTAAGGAGATGACCTGTTTTTACTAACAGGTCAAAGACCTAAAAGCAAGATGTCATCTTGGACTTTTAAAAAAAGTTTTTTTCCTAGAATCATAATACCACTTTATCATAAACATCAGCTTCCTCTTCACTTAATGTCTCAACGACGTCACAGACAGTGATGTTCATGATCGTGGTCCTTGTGCAAAGGTTTCCTGTCCTCAATATGGTTCATTTAGGAAGCCAGGAAAGTTTGTAAATAATGCTCTGTTTTCTTAAGTCAGCCTAAGCGCTTCAAGATTTTTCCTTAGCTCTGATTTCCACATTCTTCTTTCTCTGTTCCCATAGAACCCTTAACAAACATTACTCTTTTAATCTTACTTGGTCATTGTTTTTGTTTGACTCTCCAATTCCAGCAGACAGTAGTTCCAGCACATAACTCAGAAAACATACTTGGTGCACCAGTGAGTGAATCTTGAAAAAGTCCCAGTCATCCACAAAGTCAGGCTGTAAAGAGTTTTCCGAATAGCTGAGGTTTATAAGTTTTAAAAATAAAATAGAACTTGGGTGAACCTAACTGAAAAAAATGTTTATTGTGGGTTTATGTTAATCTCTGACACATTGCTTGATTTTTTTTCTTTTTCTTGAGACGAGGTCTTACTGTCTTCCAGGCTGGAGTGTGGTGGTGCGATCTCCACTCGCTGCAACCTCCACCTCCCATGCTGAAGCGATCCTCCCACCTCAGCCTTCCAAGTAGCTAGGACTATAGGTTCGCGTCACCATGCCTGGCTAATGTTTTGTACAAATGTGGTTTTGCCATCTTTCCCCTGCTGATCTTGGGTTTAAGTGGTCTGCCCACCTCGGCCTCCCAAAATGCTGGGATTACAGGAGTGAGCCACTATGCCTGACTTGTACCGTGATTTTTTAGCTACAACTCTTTGAACATATAAAACATCATTCTGAATGTACCATTTCTTTCTAGATACAAATAACAGTCTATTGCTCTCAGAGCTGTTTTCTTCACATTGAAAGTAGAAATTAGCACTACCTGGCAAAAAAACTGAAAAAGGAAATATGAAGCTTAAGATACTACTGCATAAGATAATATTAACTTTTTTCTTAAATGCTGGTTTTATATACAACAAAACCAGAAATCCTGGCTACTCCAGGATCCGTGAAAAGAAAAGGGGCTTTAGAAAGAAAAAAATAAAATCTAAGGAAAGATAATTATTTTAATAGCTGCCCTCAGGAAAATGCAGATGAGGGTGAAGCTATCCCAAATTAGCAATTAGATAAATCTTGAGGATTAGAGAACAGCAGGATTTAAATTCTCTTTTCAAAAATGCAGCGGCTCTGCTAGAAAATGAATGAATGTGATTGCAGCTATATATTTTTTTGACCAGTGCTCTTGCAGCTGTGGAAGTTTGACCCACACTGAGATGCCTCCCTGAGTCAGCCCTTTCTGTGTCCTTGCCTCTGCAGCGCAAATCTGTCCAAGGCCGCCTGGGGAGCACTGGAGAAGAATGGCACCCAGCTGATGATCCGCTCCTACGAGCTTGGGGTTCTTTTCCTCCCTTCAGCATTTGTAAGTTTACACTTCCAACTGCACACTGGGTCACATGTGAAATGAATTGGGTTTTGTGTTCTCTTCCTTTAGTCACAACAGCTTGCCTAAGGTTGGCAGGAAACAGTCAGGATTCTTACCCAGAGCCTGCGCTCTTAACCACTGGTCTGTACCTCTGAGCTTACTGAACACTCACCAGTCTGGGCGCAGCGGGATACCTGCTCTCAAGGCATGTACTTGATTAGGAATTGACTGTGTGCTTCCAGCGAAATTAATAACGTTTAAAATAAATATTGCAAACTACAATGTGAAGATTTATCTCAAGGTGGTAGATGACAAGTCACCAAAGGAATGGCCCAATCAATCACAAGATGTTTTAGGTAGGGGTGACTGGATGATGAAGTTGGGAAGCAGGAGAGCTTGGCAGAGTATTTGAAAGATGCTTAGGATATAGGCTGTATAGAGAGAGGTGGGAATGGCATCACTGTTGGAAAGGAATTAGTAGTAGCACAAACTGGGAAGCAGAAATTGGTTCACATCATCGTCTAGAGTTTGGCCAGGCGGGGCCGGGGGTGGCACAAAGGACATATGCCTCTGGCCCAGTAAGCCCCCTAGAAAAGCACCATGTCGAAGTGGTCTCTCGAGATGTCCAGCACAGCCAGCTTGTCTCCCAGCTCTGGAGCCACTTGAGGTTTCTGTGTTCAAACACCAGAAGGAGTGGCTTGCACATAGGGACTGGGGTGTATAAGCCATCTGTTATCTCTAAATGCTAGAATCACACTTGACCCAGAGAGACATTCCCACCATAAGAGGCACATAGACTAAGATCTCCCATGTCACTTCCTCATACTCACTGTGCGCACACACACACAGAATCACCCACACGATGAGATGGCTGATGCTTCTTCCTTCCTTCCTCCGTCCCTCCCTCCCTTCCTTCCTCCCTTCTTCCCTCCCTCCCTCCCTTCCTCCCTTCTTCCCTTCCTGTCACTGTGGGCACACACTCAGAATCACCCACACAATGAGATGGCTAATGCCTTTTCCTTCCTTCCTTCCTTCCTTCCCTCCCTCCTTCCCTTCTTCCTTTCCTCCTTCCTTCCTTCCCTCCTTCTCTCCCTCCCTCCCTCCCTCCCTCCGTTCTTCCCTTCCCTTCCCCCCCACCACCTGCAACTGGCTATAGTTGAATTTATGACAAACACTCATGACAAAGCTCCATTGTGGACGACTCTGACTGGACCAGAAGATTTAGCTGAGGAGTTGGTGTGTGCTTGTCCTCAGACTTCAATCTGGACTAATCCGGTTTTGTTTTTTTTGTTTTTTTTGTTTTTTTTTAAGACAGAGTCTCACTCTGTTGCCCAGGCTGGAATGCAGTGGCACAGTCTCAACTCACTGCAACCTCCACCTACAGGATTCAAGCGATCTTCCTGCATCAGCCTCCCCAGTAGCTGGGGCTATAGGCGCCTGCCACCACGCCCAGCTAATTCTTGTATTTTTGATAGACACAGGGTTTCACCATGTTGGCCAGATCTCCAATTCCTGGCCTCAAGTGATCTGCCTGCCTCAGCCTCCCAAAGTGGGATTACATGTGTGAGCCACCGCTTAATCCAGTCTTAAGGCACGCTGGAGAGCACCCACCTTCCCAGCCCACCCCAGTGTTGCTCACTGTTTCTCACACCATGCTCAGGTGAGGAGCTCTTTTCTCCCTTTCTCTCTCCTCTTCTCACCAATCTGTCCATTCTTTCTCTTTCCATCTCAGTTTCACTACAAAACTATATAACTTCTTTTAGTTATAAGATTTCAGCTTTATCACACAACTTCTGGGTAACGATGAAGTCACAACACTAGGAGGTGTGATTGTAGTGACTGTGACTTTTATAATAACTGAGGCTGGAATTCTCGCCCAATAATAAGTACTGGAATAAATTCCACATCACTCCTGTTTGGCTTCTGTTGTCAGCATTTACAAAAGTCTGGTCCTTTGTAACTGTTCTGCCCATGAAAATGCTGATCATGAAAATGCTAATAGGAAGAAATGTATTGCCCTTCCAGGTCCTCTAAACCCTTCTGAGCTATTCATTTTTTACCCCAGGTATTCTTTCTCTGACTATCCATTAATGAAGGCTAATGGAGAAAAAGAAATAATCATTTGGAATGCCTAAACTGACTGTATAGGTGGGCTCTTCTATATTTTGGAGTAAGAAAGAGCCCCATTATAGCACATTCTGGGTAAAATAGAGGTTGCATTATTTATAAAGACCGTCAGACAAGAGTATAAAACAGATTTCACCCGTTCTAGACTATGCCAACAGATTCCAGAGCTAGGCCCCCATTAGGGTGACAATGTAATTAACAGTCTAAGATTGTAACTGATTTTCCAAGAGTTTGTTAGCACATCTCAAAAAACAGAGCCTGGAACAGTGCTTTCCAGCAGGCTTCCATCATGAACCTGGTGAGGCCCCACTCACTATACCTGTCTTCTCATCAGCCATTGTCCCTTTGGTTGGGCTGTCTGTGTCCTTCAGTGAATCACAAATGACTTGGGCAGAGCACTCTAATCAGGCATTGTGGATGGTACACAGAATGGCTTTACCCTTCCCCTCCCAGGGAGCTCATAGGCTAGTTGGCCAGGGTGGTCATAGAGTCAGATGGCCACCTGATACACCTAAGCAATGAGACAGAGACATCCTTCCTGGGTGAGAGCCGGGGGCTGAGACCTGAGGGAGGTGCCTACCTGAGTGAGCAGAGCCAGAGGACTTTGTTGTGTGTTACAGAAACCAATTTGTGCCCACAGAAGCCCACAGATGAAAGGGGTTTACTGAAAAGATGCTGGGATGGATGTCACGGGATCAGAGGAGTTGCTGAGCAGCTGAGACTTGGAGGTGACAGGGCCAGGCCCTCTTAGGGGACTCAGCAGCAGCCCTTCTCCCTAGGTTACTGCAGCTAGCATGACTGTGCAGCCCAGTGCTGGCCATTCCACCTCCCAGTGACACCTCAGGCCTAGATCTGCCCTCCATGACTCAGGACTCTCCCAGCTCCGTCCCCAGAGAATGAGCCTGTTTCCAGAGAAGGGAGGATGGATGTGGGCGAGGAAGTCACCCTGACGGGTAGATACTACCAGGGGGTTTCACCCATAAGTGAGTTGATGTGCGTCTCGTCAGTCTGTGAAAAGGGTTGGGTTTTTTTGATACAGGAGACTTTAAGTGCCTGTATCACAACATCTATGTTGTCTACTGACATGTGAAGCTTCTGGAAAAAAAGTAGACCTTTGCTCGGCCTTCACAAAATTAACATTGATGGTTTTGACCTTGAGGATGACCCAGGGATTTGTGCTATGAGGTAGTTTGTCATTTCGCTGAGTTTATACGTGCACAGGAATGAGACGCTTAGCTTGTGAAAGAGAGGCTGTCCAATGGAACAGCTCGACAGTTCCCTCCTCAAAACATACCCCAGGCTCCTCCCTGAATGTTCCTGTGGCCTGGGACTGCCCTCCTTCACGTTCACTTCAGTCCCACACACACCCTGTGCCTGCTGTCTTCCAGGCCCCTGCAGAGAGAATAAAGGATGAGGTGGAGGCTTCGTTCTCGGGAAACGCATGGATAAGTTGAGGAAACAGACACCGGTGATTACAATATGTGACAAGAAGTAGGGTGTGGGGCATTCAAAATACAGGGGCTCTGAGAAGAGGGACCATGTAGTCTGCCTGGGGGGCTTAGGAAAGGCTTTGTTAAGGAGATGGCATTCGATCTCACTCTTGAGAAAGGAGTATGAGCTTAACCTGCTGTCAGGGAAGAGGAGGCTTCCAGACAGAGATAATAGTGCAGGCTGCGTGTGGGAAAGAGCCAACAGTTCTGTGTGCCTGGAATGGGGATGGGGCGTGGGTGTGAGAGGCTGGAATTCCAATCTGAAGGAGACCGGAGAACAGAACACACCACTGGCCTGGTTCCACGTGGATAGTAGAAAGGCATCATTTTTTTAAGCAGGGCTAGTGGTCTCAGGCCAGTTTTCAGAGAATTTGAATCTTATAAAATATAATTCTGAAATTAGGATTATGATTTATACTATTTAAAATGTACTCGAGGATATAGCACATTGCATGTATTATCAAAATCATCATCTTAGCCACGTAAGCCACACTATTGAACAAACCTGATTATTAATGAGTCACTGTTACCATTCACCTCACTCTCTTGGCATGTCTTTTCTTTTTTTTTTTTTTTTCTTTAAGACAGACTCTTGCCCAGTTGCCCAGGCTGGAGTACAGTGGTGCCATCATAGCTCACTGCAGTCTCGACCTCCCAGGCTCAAGCAGTCCTCTCACTTTAGCCTCCTGAGTAGCTGGGACCTAAACTGTGTGCCACTACGCCCAGCTGACTTGTTAATTTTTCTCTTTTGCCATGTTGCTCAGACTGGTCTTGAACTGCTGGGCTCAAGTGATCCTTCTCAGCCTCCCAAAAGATGTTGTCATTTCTCACTCCTTAATGCTGCTTGATAATTTGTTCCCTCTGAACCACCCCCGCAACATCACATGTTGGGCGAGTCAGCTGTTACTGCCATGGCCCCCACTTCACCTCCCTGGGCCACACCCATGCTGTGGGAATGGGCCTTGTAGACCACAGATCTGGTTATGTTACCTGCTGGAGATCCTGTAAGGCAGAATCCAGGCTCCTTAGTGGGGCTGCTTTTGCCCTTCGTGCTCCGACTCCTAACGTCTCATTCCTGGTACTTACTGTTTCTGCTGTGCAGAACTCATGGCTCTCACTACAAGCCAGATCCACCCTGCTAGCCAGCCATAATCTGTACTGAGAATGACACCTTTACACCCCACCTCTGCCTGCTGCACCTGTATTCACTCCAGGCACCCCTCCTCTGCATCCACAACTTTCTAGAAGCTGGGGCTCAGCACATATCCCACTTTGCATTGTGACCACCGACTCGTGTCTTCTGGACCAGAGTGAGCTGAATGGGTCATGTGGGAGGCTTTTCCTAAGTGTCTGTTAGTTGAAGTTGTTTCCTTTAAGTTG